AAGGAAGAAAAGGCATTCGTTTCTTCGATTAGACTATTTTGTATATAAAGATGATGGTGCATCATTCTATAAATGCACTTAAATTCCGGTCGAAGAAACGATGCCATTATTTACGTCGTCACGCACTGAGGGAAAGAAGGCACAATAGAGAGATATGCATAGAGAGAAAAGAAAAAATGAAAAAGAGCAGCTGACTTATGTGCATCTCAAGTTGGATTGCACATATAAGAAATACATAACGTATAAAGACGAAACAAGAATATATAAGAATAAATAAATAAATAAATAACTTGTTACAGTACTCTCTAACACCTTCGATAAGCTTTATGAAAATGCAACATATGATACACCCTTTTAAAGTTGTTCAGTCGTATAAACGCTATGATAAACCTTTTTATTTCGTCTTGTGATGGGTAGATAAAAAGGGTCTATTGCATGCTGCTAAACGGTAGAAAAGGGTATGTGATACGTTGCATTTTTTATCCGTGTATGGTAGGGTATTAGCGCGAATATTTGCGCAGCTTTCATCGACTATTAATATAATTGCTTGTCGTGTATGATCATGGAGTCAGATCCTGGCTAATACGAGCAAAAATGTTATTTGGAAGACTATGATGATAACCAATCACGTCGATTCTCTCGCTAGAGAATAGGAGGCGCACGAGTGTGTGACTTTGTGCACAGCGAAAACTAAAACTCATATCCCATAAACTGTTATTGAATTTGTTTTTCTTTTGAATTTGACTTTGAAGCTGATTAGTGATAATATGAATTTGGATAAAATTTGTATTTCAAATAAAAAAACTGTGGAAACATCGGATTTGCATCCGAATGTGATGTGTACTTCAAAAAGAATTATAATAAAATAGAATAGGTCACTATTCACATAGAAAATAAGGATATTTTTTGAGTAGCTCAGCAAATTCTTAACGGATTGCTTTCATCTTTGAAGTCGACTGAGATATTCATGAGATTATTCTGCGTACAAAATTTCATGACAATTGGATGAGGCTTTCAACAGCTATCGTGTCAACAGACGGCCGGACGGATACTGTGGCCGAATCTAGAGTATACTCAGTTTTTGAGTACACAAAAAAGACTTTCTTTTCGCCAGTATGAAAAAGGGTTTTTAATAGAACTTTTCACAATTTTCCGAAATATCTGTTTTATTTGTTAATGATTTTTATTTGAAACAATATGATATTAAAATGAATAATTAACCTATTATTGATCATACAAAATTTGCATGTAAGGAAATGTGTCTCACATGAATCGGTTGTTGTACTTTTAGGGAATCAGTTATCTCTTTTAACATCGTATGTAAATTTATCAATATTCTAAATTGTATAAAATTAAGAAACTTTAATATTAAAAAGGATTTAAAGTTTCGAATAAAATACTAAGATCTCTGTTTGTTTTTCAGCATGGATATTAATTGTCTGTATCCTAAACGCTAAAATCATACGTGAATTCATTTATATGATAAAATTAAGTAAGAGAACATAGCATTTTAGAGCAAGTTAAGGCAGTTCAAAGGGATCTTATTGAAACTGGCTGCTAATGATATCTTTTTAAATACAAATAAATATCGTATGTGCAGAATAACATCACGCATCTACATTTCGCTTGCAATCTGAAAATATGCTAATTCAATGTCATGACGTGTTCAATCTGCGTATGTGAACCTATCTAGTAAGTTTCGAAGAACTGAACATTTTTTGTCAGGAAAACGAGGAGAGAAAAGAATTATTCTGTACAAAATGTATTATAATGTTAAAAATTACATGTTTCTATTGAAATCAAGTCATAGGCAACATATATTTCTCTTATTTTCTCGAATAAATTTAGCAAGAAAAATCAAAATTTATACAGTATTTCTTTTAATTTAATAACATGTTTTTAACGAAATAATATGCTTTATCTTTCATCTGTAATTCAAAGGCATACTAGAATTTATACAAAACTGATTGTTACAATGTCATCTTTGTAAACGATACATTTTCGATTATTTTGCATTGTTACTGTTGATAACAAGGACCTTATAAGAATATCTATGACAACTTGTTTACATGTTTGACTTTGTTTTACTACATTTTTACTAAAATAATTTGTGATATTCTAGATTTTTCTAACAAATATGTCTATTTCGAGTATTTATTGAGTTATCAATTCGAGATAACTTTCGTCATCAAAAGAACAGGTGAAAGAAAATATTCTTTACGAAATGAAGAGACATTATCCAACAATATACGTAATTGTTAATTGCGCTGAGCTCGAAATAGTACAACCAAATGATCCTCGAGCACAGCAAGATACACGTATATAATCTACTTACGAAGGTACACAAAATTCAACTGTTTTCTGTATTATTGTCTTATACACTTGTTTCACTTGTGCCGCCTGTAAGTATTTCATTACATTCAGTAGTTATATGCACATCACCTATACATGAATGTACAACATCACACCATGCTCTGTTTAATATGATCGGTGCTGGAAGATTGATGAAATTATTGGAACATGACGATTAGATAATGATTTAGCGGGATTTTGTTCTTGAAGTTCAATAGTCACAGGCAACTCTCATTCGCCCGCCATTTTTAGAACAAAATTACAACTGATTGCCAAAGCAGTTATCGAAAATAGAGTATTGGTGGGGATTGAATACATTTAAAGTGGTGCATAGCAAGGATAAAAAAATACTACAGACTGACGTATGGTAATACCCCGATGGCATCGATTTATCCATTGAATTTTCTGTTTTCTATCTGTATATTGTTCATTATATAAAACTAGGATTTTTTGAAAACTATTGCATGAAAGAAAAAAGGACTCTATAGTTAACCACGAATAAGATTATGCGTGATCACGTTTTATACATATTTGTGAACAACAAATGAATGGAAATTATTGATATTATACTAGTCGATTATGAATCTTGAATTTTTTTGTAGCAATCTCAGTAAGCAACACCGCATGGCTGCTCCTAACCCACACTATTAGTAAATTGAAGCAGCTCAACCAACAACAGTCAATAAAGCAGCTATGACTATATGACCATTGCGACTACAAATCATTTTTTATTTTCACAAATTATCTTCAGATGAAATATTGAGTCTCATGTCATTTTGATTTTAGTACTTGCTCAAAATCTAAAACATTTGGTTCAATGCTGTATTGACAGTTAGATCTGGCGTTGAATTGTACACTGCAATCTTTTTATTTTGCTATTACACTTACAAAACGCTGAGAAGAAGAGATTATAATAATTGAATATAAAAAAAGGAAGGTACACACACACATACACACTAGGTAGTTTCGATCAGTCTGGGAGGCTTTTGAGTACGTAATAAGGCAGTGGATCACTCGTTAATATTAGACGTAAAGCAAATCGTGGAGCAGATTCACGGTATGTAAATTCCACAACTATTGAGCGTACTGAATGTTCCTTGGCCACCACAAACCATTACCTGACCCGAACTGGTCATAAGCGTGGCAGTATGTAATCTTCTAGCGAAGGGCATATTGCTGGCCAACGTAAAGATATCAGTGGGTGGATCATAAATTTCACATGTTGTTACGTTAGTAATACCGTTATTGCTACCGCTGAATAGTACAACCCTAGTTGTAAGTAGTGTCGCTGCATACCATTCTCGCTTACTTAACATTTTCCCATATCGTACAAAAGCGAGTGTAGATATATCGAATACTTCATATATATTAAGAGAACCGTTGATAGCAGACCAACCACCCGCAAAAAGAATAGCATTGATTGATGGCATATAAGTGGCTGTATGCTGATAACGTGCCATCGACATTCTTGCAGAGATAGGCATAAAAGTATTCGAGCTACTATTGTACAATCGGAGACTGTCAAGTTCTGATGAACTATTGTGTCCGCCACCAATAATACCATAACCATGGGGAACAATCGTTGCTCTGTGTGCCCATCGACTCACAGACATGTTGTTACTAATGGGACAAAATGTACCTGTTACGCTATTATAGGCATCACCAGTAGCTACGGGACCCTGACCACCAGCAAGCAAAACTTTCGTGGAACCGCCGTATTATATCACAGAAAAAGTATGCTGAGAGCGTAATACACTCATTGCCACTACACTGGGAAAAAGGTGTCAGACGAATTCCAGATGGTTTCTTGAAACGTTACGATATTTCGGAGGTTACCGTGAACTTCCACGGAATCTCTACGAGGTTTAGTAAAATACAAGGTTTCGTATTAATCTTCTGCGATTTTTCAAATTGGAAAAGGTTTCGTAATAAGCTCTCATAGGTTTGGTATGTTACTAAGTTTTTTAATATACCCTGTGATAATTTCATAATAGTAATATATTATACAGATACGACCTCTCTTTGACGTTACGTATGACTAACTAAAATGGAAACCAATGATATAATCACGGGGGAACAAACTGATTTCGAGATTTCATGATTTCGCCTGAAGTTTTTGATTTCAACTAATTTCAAATGATTTCAGATGATTTCAAGTTGATTTCGACTTCCGAAATCAGTTTGTTCCCCCTTGATTTTTACATTTGTTTTTCAAGCCTTTGAACGCACTTGGAAGCTTTTTGACACCTACGAAACCTTTCTGTAGGATTCGGTAAAATTACCTTTTTTTATTTAGAGTGTACTATTTCGAAAAACAATTTATTCATATCGTTTAACAATGAAGAATGTCACGGAGTCTGTGGCAGAAATGAATTATAAAGTGATTCTAAATTGTACATACTCCTTATTCAAAGCTACTTATAGCTCCTGGAAATGTTTCTGACATGCAGTACTGTCTATAAATTTCACTATACGAGAAGTAAACACAAACTACTGTGATTTATACGGTAATTATTTATTCGATACAGTAGCACGGGAAAATAAACAGTACGTGTTATGAGACCTCTCAACAAAGTATGCGTATTTCCATGGTACTCCTATTCTATCCCATGGCCATGCGCGTCCCAACTCATGAGCCATTCCTATCCTGGCACCTGTACTATCTAACAATACCTATAGTTCCTGAGGTGATGATATATTTGTTGCGTGTTATTTTGTCAGTGAGTTATCTGAATTGTTTTTTGTAATTCATGTGAGTAATCCGGTGAAATACTAAGTATATTTTATTGCTTCAGATCGAAAGTATCTCACTAAACTATATGTGATGACAGAATTATAATTACAACCATAGCTAGATATATTAGCCAAAATGCTATTTTCACGAGAAGTTGACGCTAACCATAAGTAATAATATCAAATATTTTTGGCAAGAAGACAGACTTTCCTTCGTACGTGTACAATAGCTAACAATTTGTTTGATGATTGTGTAAATGTATGTCTTTTTCTCTAAGTGCTGCTGACACTTTTCACATGATTTGCCACTATACATAGTATGATGAGTTGCAAAGCAACCTATTTCGTTTTCTTAGGCAATACAGAAAAAATACGCTGTATCTATTAGGCCAATTAATTTATGTACCATCAGGATCGTATCAATGATATTGACAAGCTGCACTTTATACATTACGGCAATCCGTGCTCATAAAAGACAAATAGGATGGAAATATCCTCCTGATCCCCATAGCCTTCAAATAATAATATCCTGATATCCACAGACACGCGAATATCGTAATCAATCTAATTTTCAAAAACAAATTTTCTACACGATGCTGCTATGTAGACTAACAAGAAATACCAGCACACAATAAATAAGCAATATATACATCTGTATACATAGCTAGCAAAAAAACAAATTTAACCTTTACCTGTATTATTCCCAAGATACTCTGTAGTTTGTGCGTATGAAAATTCAAATAAGCAACCGATTGTTTCAATGAAGGAATCAGTTGCAAACAAAAACATATATTCACGATTATTTTCATTTCTCTTTCGCTTCGAATGTTGTTCAGAATATCTTGCTTTCAGTATGACTTCTCCTTTTTTGCTGGTAAATCCATAGAAAATAATTTTCACATCGCTGCTTATCAAAGAGATGGTTCGATCACTATGCAAAACTAAATACTCGTATAAGTAGCATTTTACAGAATGTGAATCAAGCGAGAAGAGCATAACCTTTCTTTATTAGATCTTTCATGCTAAATTATTTATCTAGTTTAATTGATTGAAGATATAAAACGTGACAGTCTATGCGCAACAAGTGAATATTTGATTTTGTCCAAAGACACTTTGAGAAGATGCTTCTTCGTGTATATATATTTCCCCATTTCACTTGGATCTTTCCATTTTTCCCCTTTCTCCCAACAACACACCAAGAGGCACTTAGCAGAAAGTATAGAGTAGCAATACGCTTAGTCCACCGTGTCCCATTTGTTCACGCTAAGGACCTTTTGAGTTTTACTCGAGAAGAGCCGCTTGATACTTATGTCAAACGTTATATCTCGAAAAGATTAAAAAATATGTGTTCTTCAGATTTAGGTTCTTCCTTATTTCTTGAAGATGTATTCCTATGGGATAAGTTCCATAAGCAAGCTAAAGATGGTGTTGGCCATCTATTTATGTTGAAACGGACTAAACGTTTAAAGTTAAATCACCGCTCCATTCTCCTAGACTGGCTTGATTTTAATGAACAAAGTGATAATTAGGAATATAGGAAAGAGTGAACACGAAATCCTAGTTTATTAACAGCCCCTTAACATTGTACCTCAACCTTTACAACTCCCGCTACTTGTATTCTCTGTTCATCTCGTTACCACTTTCATTTGCTTCATGTATCTTTACCTTTGTTTCTCCCTTTTTGTTTTCTTTTCTGTTGTTTCTTCCTTTTTTTGTCTGTTACTACCTATCCCTCCCGCCCCGCCTTGTTTCTCTGTTTTTGTAAGCACTTCCGAGTGTGACAATAAAAAGAGCATAAACCAAAAAAAAAGTGAATATTTGATCAATTTAAAAATATCGGTCTATTTCAAAATGACAACAGCTGTTGATAGGCACCTTTTACCATATGCTTTCAGCGACTTACATTTTTTCACTGAAAAAGTCCGAATCATTAAAGATACTAAGAGTTGCAGTTCAGTACATATACTCGTCATTTGGAATCACTGATCCAGCCTAACTACTGATCTTTCATTTCCTGCATAGTCTGATAACGGAGATTAATATTTGTCTCGTTTTCATAGGTCCTGAAAGAATAAGTTTCAAAAAAGAATTATTCTTGTTTTTACATTCATTGATTAATTGTATTTGTATACAAGAGAGAATTTTTTCTTTATGATCATGTTTCTACTGAAAAAACTAAAGTCAAAATTACGTGTCCATATGCAGAAGATCAACTCAGTCGAAATACTTACATTTTGGCAAAGAAGACAAACCATCACATGCAAAATTTATGACAAGGAATAGAAGCAAGCTGTAATTTAGAGAATGAATTACGCCTTCATCGCTAGTTTACTTTCATTGCACAACATATATATCATGAAACAAATAAATGGGAGTATGTGCTATTTTCAGGGGTCAAGATCAAAATTTAAACCTTCTTTTTGGGATTATGTATGTTTGTAATTTTATCTTCTCGATAGTCGCCGACATATTCTTAGTCTTGAGGGTGTTAGTATAGATGCCTCCACGGAATTTGTATCAGACGAATAGCTAAACATAAAATTTCTAGTTATATTGCAAGTTGTAAACAAATGTTACAACTTTATATGACGAAAATCGTAGTGTGAGAAGATAAGTGATAATTAGAAGATGATCGAACGGCCATACTTATTTCTTGTATGGATCTTGATAGAAATTATCAGCTGCTGGATTTGATTGGAAATCTATTATAAAAATCTTTGAAATAAATGTTTCGAGAGACAGATGCCTTTCTCAATCAATCAAATACTTCAAACAATAAATAGACGTTTTTTTATTGGAATTTCGTCATTCATTATGCCATTACAACATTGACGTCTTTAAGAGTAATCTTATCGAAAAGTGCACTAAATGAAAAAAATCACCATGAATTTAGCGATGAGTCGTTCTCTTCTCTGTATCAACAAATCTATGATTTCGAAAGTGATTTGTATGCTTAAAACAATGTCTTAGCAGACCGGCTGTTCTATTGGTTACTAGAGAAAAAAAAGAAAATAATTTGATTAAAGTACAAAATACACGAATGAAAGTTTTTTGTTTCTTTTTTTCTAATCATCATTCGATTGATTTTTAGTAATATTCAATTCATCAAAAATGACATCGAAACCGTCAGTTTTCTCATTGGGTGAAGCGCACATAATTCCGACCATGATTGGATTTGTTTTCTTTGCTAATGGCAAATAGGCTAGTCTCATCATTGTGAATGGATGATTTTCACTTTCTGCATATTCAATATGAACTGCTTCTCTCTCGCGTTTGACTCGTAATCTCAACGAATTCGGATTTTGCCTAAGTGGAACAACACTCCAATCAGACCAACCATTAACAGTAACTACAGCACTAGCATAATAAATACCATCAACATATTCAATACCACACTTTATCCAGTTATGCGCATCATTCCGAAGCATTAGACCGGCTTGATCATAAACTGCTCGGTAGTTACCATATACATTTACCGTAATAGTAAATGATTGTTCACCGTCCATAGAACGGTAATAAAAATGACCATTATCGCGTTCGAATCCGTAGTGAGTTTGTCTCCAAAAATCTGTTTCTCCATTTGTATGAACCATAATAGCAGATGAATTAGATGACCATCGAGTTGGTTCATTGTGCCAAGTGTAAGATTCCTCAAATATAAAAATAAATTATCCTAAATAACAAAAAAAGGATGGATGTATTGGAGTAAATTCACAGTTTGAGCTGGTATTTTATTCAATGTTTATATAGATTTCAAGAGCTATGGTTGTAAAATTATGGAGTCTATAGTTGAATCAATTGTTCTTGAAACAACTTTCAAATCGAAATTTAACATTTAAAAGTTTAATTCAGTAGAAATTTGATTAGCGCCGAGGGCACTTATTATATTCTCTTAGTTAGAATTCTGATTGCTGCATTACCATTTAATCATAGATCAAACTCATTCACAAGGAGATTATTTAAAGCGCTAAATCTATATTTAATCAAGATAGTATTACTATATCACTAATACCGACCTAATGCTTTATTGGAAAGCGAAATAATTCATTAAATCATCTAATCTACAAAGTATAAAGATTTTAAGACGCTCTATGATTATTTCATTTCAAAGAATATTTCCGTATGTACAAATAAAGTATATCTCTGAAATTTCTAGCATTGATTCAATTGGTTATTCAATGAAACTGACGGTAACGTGACTCAGTATGTAATTTCCGATAATGACGAATATTTTGCAGAAAGAAAAAAATTTACTATCGACTACAAAATGTAGCTAATTGTACGCTCGTTTCATAATGAGATTTTAATGGCATACGGAAACTGATTACATACAGCTGTAGCTTGTGTCGGCCACGAGTTCATGCCAATAGTACATATTAAAACCGTGAAAAATGTGTGCAACATTGTATCTGCTTCTGAATAGAAGAAATGATAAGATTGTTGATATTTCTTATTACTCCAAACTAGGATTATCATTCAAGTTCTATAGATCAAAAAAGGCGAATAACAATACGACGTGCTGCTTTCAAATGTCACATATGTTCACGTAGCTAATTACTCAAGAGTAATCCTTTGCGGTATGCACGTACATATCATTATCAAAATAATAACAATGTTGATCACTTTATATCATTAATTTATCCAAGATATTGGTCACGAGCACGACTATAACACAATTTTCTATAGCTAGATATACTGAAACCAGTAGATGCCCATTGAGATTTGATACTCTAGTTAGTACCTTTTAAGGTCAAGTATATTTCAAATGCAGCATGAAACTTTTTTAAAAGTATCACTTTTGCGTAGATAAGCTCATCTCAACATAAAATATTCATGAAACAAGAGAATCATATTTATCTGCTATGGTATAGTACTTAGAAAACTCAAAAAACTCACTTCAACTTCCTCGTTCGTGTTTTATTAGAGCAAACGACTGATCCGCAAGAGGAGTTTTCATTCCAAAAGAACAGGAACTCGTTTGAAAATGTATTTTCGTGCATTTTTGAGTATTCGGAAATACTGACACACACGTATTCTTTCAATGTGTGTCAATTGGCTATGGGTTCTTGGAAACAAAATCAGAAAGTCACACTCCTGTCCAGGACTAATAGACTACAACATAGATAATTATTGATAGTGATCAATTTTGATCTATGCTGACTAATTAAAAAGAATCTCTACAAAAATGTTGAATAGTTTCAATGAATTCTAAGTTCATTCCAATTAATCCGAACAGTGGCAATAGACTGAGATTGGTACATGGCTAATTGAAAATTTTCATTCATTAAGTCAAGAGTGCCTGTTGAAACTGTAATATGTCAGTAATCATCATTTATAGTACCCAAAACATCATTTGAACTAGTTTCGATATTTACAGAAAATTGACATAATTTAGAAGCCGATAAGTAAATAATTTCTTTCATTTTAATCGGAAAATTTTTATCCTTGGAATTCTAATCATATGTTTATAACAACTTTACGAACGATAGGTTAATGAGATTTAGTAAGCAGTCACTGAGGAAAAACTCGACAATACTTTATATACTGAGATCAAAATCGAAGTTCATGTATCTCTATCCAGTTGAAAGGAGCGAAAAAGCTTATTTTTAAATACAGAAATGAATTTAAAGTTTGAACAATACAAAACAAGGAACAAGGTGGTATTCTACTAGCTTATACTAGTTCAATCTTTAAAAAAAAATAAACAGAATTCTCGGTTAAATGTTTTTTTCATGGTTTTTAATAAAGTTTTTTTGTCTTTTTCTAATAAGAGCCATTTGCGCTTTAATTTCATCGATTTCACTTATCATTTTCAGTCTTTCATAAACATTTAACAAATCAATAGATGCATCGGTTAACATAGATGTTTTTTGTGCTTCTTTGTAGTCTCTTCTCAAACGTATCAGTAAGCCATATAAATCTTCATTGAGACTTCCGAAATTTGCTTGTGCACTAAATTGTTTCTCCTCAGCAAGCATCCGTTTCAAGGTTACCATAATAGGATCTGTGTTATTCATTTTATTACAATACTTAGCATAGAATTGAGCGAACTCCATGATTGCTGTTTTCAGCGTCAGCACAGTTAATTCCATAGCTGATAAAGATTCTTCACCCATTTTATCTGAAACTTCATATTGAAGACCGTAGTCGACTTCCGCAGAAGGTTTTTGATCACAGTCACACCTATTGTACAAATCTGAAAAAACTAAAAATTCATTATAATATTCAGGAGTACGTCCACATGTATAGCAGATGACTGATGAGTGTTGTAGCGCAAAAGGACAGAGCTTTATCAGTTTACTTGCTGGATTTATCTGTAATACGAGAATATTTCGAAAAAGATTTCTCATAGTTTCTAATATTGGTCGAATCATTTGATTGATTTTAAATTGAGCATGTCCAATCGATTGCCACTCATGTTGAACATAAGGTTTGAGTTGTGTT